ACGAGACGAGCAAAGTCATCTAAAAAGAGTGAAACGTTTAACAATTTTATAAAATATAATACAATAAGTAAATATAATACAATAATGCATATTAACTCACAGAATTATCATTACCTTATGACTAAATATATAAAAGAAAAAAAAATATTATGAATTATAATTTTAAGTGAAATTCAAAATGAATAGAATTCATCTAGATAAATAAAAGATGAAAAAGCCAGGCTAGATCTATTATTTTAATACATAATAAAACATTTTTCTTAATTTTCCAAATTCGATCATTTTACTATAATCTTTTTCAGTGGTATATGTAACTTTACAATTTTAATAAATGGTTGTAACAGTCAATATGGTGTGTGTGTGTGTGTGTGTGTGTGTGTGTGTGTTTGATTCCATTATATCTACATCAAATTGAATATCGACAAATAATTCTTTGTTAAAATTATAAACATATGATCTTCCTAATATGTTCGTTGATTTGAAATTATTAGTACATTTTCTGTTTTGCAATCCAACGATATCTGATTAATATATTTGTTCACAATCATTACTTATTTAATAACAGTTAAGCTATACCTAAATCTACAAAACACATTGTACATCTGTTTTTTTTTATTTTATGGAAACCAATGTTTTGACAATATTATCACGGCTTCTAGTTGTAAAAATAAAATAACAAACTGTAATGTTATTAAAACATAAATAGCGCGACATACAATGTACTTTTAAATTTTAGATAATGCACACATACGAAATAATAAATCTTTTAAATTTTGTTCAAAAATAGCAATTGTATATAATTTGTAGCAACTTACTAATACAGTTACTAGTTAATTAACCAGTTCTTGAATATTAATGAGTTAAGACATTTGTCAGTTTTTTTCCAAAAATGATACATATAGAATTTACAAAACATATTTTGATAGATGCAATATTTATAATAAATTATTGAAAATAAACCCATCATATAATACCGCTCAAAAGTTTGAAGTATTTCATAATTTTTAGATATCAACCACGATCCTTTACCAATTATAGTATTTAAAAAGTAAAATTTACTTTTATTTTTAAATGTACATTATTAAAATAATTTAGGATACAGATAATATAAATTTTAGTATATTTACAATGTTTATATTTTCTCTCGATATTCAAAAATGCAACAAACTTCTCAGCAACAACATATATATTATAAGTTATTATAACAAATTAGCAACCATCCCCCCAACTTTATATTATTTCAAACAGCATGCAAACATCAACATTTGTCAGATTTATCAAATTTACTATTACAATATAATAATTTGTAGTAATTAATACGCGTAATGAAAATTTAATAACTTTGTGTTCCAGGTTGAATTTTGCATTATGGCAGAAAGACCAAATGGGAATCCCTACAGAACTGAACGCGTTCCTTATGTGACAGTTCCTAAGAACCCACCGGCTCTCTCAGAAATCGCAGAAGGTACGTTTTCATACAATGATCATTATTTAATTCATCAAACACATCATATTTCATGCGTGTGTACACGATAATAGTTCTGCAAAATGGAATGCAACCCTTGTTCCAACAAGTGACCGTCGACATAGCTAGCTGTCCTTGTCTAACTAAACCACCGTATAATCTTGCCGGAGTAGGTAAGAAATTACAACAAAGATAATTTTTCATTTAATAGAATATCTTACAAAAATGAATAATTTATACAGGATTAGGTGGCAACACGTCAATAATAGAATTCCTTCGTCACAATGAAGATGCACCGTGGAATCATATAACACGGGATATTCGAGTAATACTCTCAAGCAGCTGCCGTGATTCCTTTATCATCGGATCTTCTTACGCTTCAAAACCACACATGCCTCATTACGGACATGTACGTGTTATCAATATTTTTTACATGTGTATGCCCATGTGGATAATATTACTATAACAATAAAAAATTATGATAATATTATATATCACTACATAACTGACAATTTAAATAAATATCAAACTACGATAATTTACGAATCATATCATCAAACCACCGTTATTATGTTACCACGTTATTATTCTTACCGCTGTTTCGTAGTTCTATTCTACTGATTTAAGCTATTCAACTTACTGTATTGAGTTTCAATTGTGTTTTTATCGTACACACGATTCAAATGATACTATTACTGTTTCTCACAAACCTGATTACTCTTGTAGCTCATTATGAATGCAACGTACAGAGCACCTATGGACTATAAAAACGAGAGTCGCCTTATTTTCGCAGAAAGGCGTAACGGACAAACAACAATAAAAAAATTAACTGATCCTAACCAAATGATAACCAACTATGGTACTTTCTTTGTCAGCGAGGGTAGGGCGGGCCTTGTTATCAGAGTGCGTGCCAAAGGTCGAAAAACTATTAACACAGATATCATAACTTCAATGCAAACGATTCTTTACGAAAGATATAGAAGAACTGAAAATAAATATGTTGGTAATTATTAGTGTGGAATATACAGTTAAAAAAGAACATGTAAAAACAATTACATAATTTTTTATGTCTTATCTCAAAGCATTAGGTGGTGTTCTAAAAATGAAATACGGAAGTGTGGCGTGTAATCTTATGTGGGATGATTACCAGGAGCCTCTCTTACCATTTGAAGAAATTGTTAAAAGACAGCAATGCCCCGAGATACATCTAGAGTCAGATATGATAGCCGTTGGCACAATAATTAACACTGAGCCAAACCTATGGACTCATGAACAGCGTTATGGTGTTGTAAGTTATTTGTCCCGGTTATGCAGAAACTAAAAGTCATTGTCCTTGATGTTATCATATTATATTATTTACCATAGATATTATTTACCATAGATAAATTTCATTAAAAATTTAATTGTTTATTAATTAATTAAAATAATTACTATTGTCAATCCGTTTGTGTCAAATTTAAATCTGTGATTACTAAGTTGAGTTAAAATAGAGGAACCTTTCGCAATCATTTAATCATTGAACGCAACCGTTTTGTTTAAATCCGAAAATTTATCTTAAACATCCCAACAATATTCTTTAATTGTTCGTTTTTTAGAGTCTGTACAAGAGATTAGCGTTCCATTGTTTCTCTGATGATGGAGTAGGAGGACAATTTATTAGTGATACTACACCGGATACGACGGAATATGAAGGTTACTTCAATGTAGCGGAGAATATTCAATACTCTTATTTTTTACGGTCATAATTACAGTCATAATTACAATACGCTATATTTTTTATAACTAATGGCCATTTTAATATTCACCTAGGTCATTATGTACTCTCATATAAAGCAGAAATTTATGTAATGTTATCTAGCACATTATCGTGACAAGGGTGCCATATCAGATTACAATACTTTACAAGCCTCCTTTTTTAAATAATGAGTTTGTAGAGTTGTTAATATTCGAGAAACGTTCTAACAATTAAACCCTTTGATTTTGAAACTGTAGAATCTTGCTACATTTTCTTGAAATAAAAATCGATAAAGTAACTAAATTCATAATTTATACATAGTACAAATTCATAATTCGGTTACTTTAATCAAACATAATTTGAATTCTAATATTTTTCAAAGTAAAATTCTGAAATAGATAATTACGTGAAAAATGTTGTGGTCAAAGAGTACAAAAATGAAAGAATGATTCCATACATTACATTTTATTATCTATATACTTATTCCATAGTATTAAATATGTAAGACTCGTTTTTATTAAAGAGTTCTCAAATTAACAAATTATAGTTTCTCGTACAGAATTAATGACTCTTAAGTATTTTTGGTTTCCATATTTCTAAATTTTTTTGAACGTGACGGTTAATTTTAAAATTTTTTGACAATTATCTTTCATTGTCAAGACTAAATTTAAAATTAACGGAATTCTTCAATCGTTAGAATTTTCTGGATAAAATTTGTATAAACGATATGTTTCTTCGAAATTTTAACATATCTTTCAAAATATTTTAACCTTAACTAAATATTATATTAATAATTATAATTATTTAAATTAGATGTGCTATAGTAATTTTAATTTTGTTAGTCTGTCTGCTTGTACTTTAAATTATCTATAATCATCGAATATTATTGGGGGAAACAATTTCTAAGCGTTACTTTTATCATTAATTCTTATATTAACAATTTGATAATAACGTTCCATTTTTTATGATTAAAAATATTGATAACTAACATTGTTAAGATTGTGCTAAAGTTAAGAAACTCATTTTAAAAAAAAACTTGTTTCCATTACATGTTATGATTACCGAAAAATATTTACTGATGAAACTAATGAGTAATTTAAATAACGCATCGACAAATTTTTTTTAAAAGTAACAAATAAAGATAATTAGTTACAAATAAAGTTATTTTTTTAATAATGACTTACAACTCGTTAGAAATAACACTTAACTTTACTAATCTTCTTCTTATTATTACCGTCATAAAAAATTCGCAATATCATTACCAATTGTTATTATAACTAAATAATGATAAAAGCTAAGATGTCAATTTCTCATTTACGAT